CATGGGGTGGGGCTCCAAGACCTCCAGGAAGGGAAGGGCTGGAGGCTGAGTTCACTCTGTGGCCTGTGATTCCATCAGTCCCACCGACAAAATGAAGCTTCAGTGGGGGCCCTGGATTTCTAGAGGTTCCGTTGGCCTCGGCCATCACCGGTTGGTGATGCTATGACGATGGGCGCAAAGGGGAGGCCTCCTGACTCCACGGGAGAGAGGTCACAGACGCTCTGTGGCCAGGACGCTCCCACATCTCACCCTGCGCGTCTCTTCCTGTGGCTGGTCCTGAATTGCGATGTTTGTGATAAAACTGTAATTGTTAGTGTAGTGCCTTCCTGAGCTCTCAAGTCATTCTAGCAAATTAGCAAACAGGAAGGGATTGTGGGAACCCCTAGATTTGTAGCCAGCTGGCCAGACGTGTGGGTGGCATTCTCGTGCGGGTACCCTCAACCTGTGAAGGGTGGTCTGAGCCCAGATAAAAGCCGTTGCAGACATAGGTGATGGGTGTGGCTGCCAGGGCTCCCACGGTTCCCAGAGAGGTGCTTGTGGGGCTGGGCGTGGACCTGCCACTTCCCCCGATCCCTTTCCCCTGGGCCCTGGGGCCTGGCAGGGGCTGTGTCTCTCTCCAGAGCTGAGTGCACAGCAGGCCCCCAACAAATGCTGGTTGAGCTGATCTTCCATTGGTCCAATTATCTAGCACATCCCCCAAGACTTTTGCACTTGCTCTGATTCCAGAGATGATAATGCTACTCAGTTTTTTTAATTTTTCATCCTGATGTTATCTCTTTCAACCCTAAAGGCATTGATTTGACTCCTTGTTTCTTCAGTAGCCATATAAATGATTCATCACTTTAGGAGCAAAGTTGTTCTTTCCGCTTTTATCCCACAGGGGGCGGGCACAGGCTCCGGGTCAGCCATGGAACCCCTGGCCTCCACGGTGGCAGACACTTTGTCTGGAAAACACTCTACTTTCAGGGGTGGCCATTGAAGATTTTCTGCCTGAAAACTCCCACTTGGCAAGGGAAGCAAATAAAAGCGTGGCTTACAGTGCAACCCTTTAAAACAGAAGCTTGCTAAACAAATGGGAAGCGTGACCAGAATTCGTAAGGAACTGTGAAATGAAGAGGATGCTGTATTTGGAAGCTGTGAAATTGCTCTAGGATTCCAAACCTCAGAGTAGCTTCCAGGCTCCCGGGAAGAATCAGATGCGTGGCCTAAATAAAAAACAGTCCCCTGGCCAGGCAGCCAGGGCGGGGACATCAGAGTTCGCACGCTGTGCGTGTGTGTGCACTCGTGCCAGTGTGCGTGTGGGTACATGCATGCACGCAGGTGTGTACTTTTTTAAAAAATTTTTTTCAAGAAACAGGGTCTCACTCTGTTGCCCAGGCTGCAGTGTAGTGGCATGGTCCTTGCTCACTGCAGCCTCAAATTCCTGAGCTCAAGTGAGCCCTCCACCTCAGCCTCCCAAAGAGCTGGGATTACAGGCGTGAGCCACCGCACCCAGCGAAGTGTGGAATCTTGATTCATGACCTTTCATAGCTGAGGGGTGAGAAAGCTCACTGACATCCCTTCTCGTTCCAAGGACACACTCTGAGAACAGTTGTAATGAATTTTTTTTCTTCTTGAGACAGGGTCTTGCCGTGTCACCCAGGCCGGAGTGCAGTGGCGCGATCACAGCTCACTGCAGCCTTGACCTCCCAGGCTCAAGTGATCCTCCCACCTCAGCCTCCTGAGTAGCTGGGACTAGAGGCGCATGTCACCACAACTGGCTAATTTAAACAATTCGTAGTTTTTGTTTGTTTGTTTTTTGAGACAGAGTCTCGCTCTGTCGCCCAGGCTGGAGTACAGGGGCAAGATCTTGGCTCACTGCACCCTCTGTCTCCCGGGTTCAAGCGATTCTCCTGCCTCAGCCTCCTGAGTAGCTGGGACTATAGGCGTACCCCCACCACACCTGGCTATTTTTTTTGTATTTTTAGTAGAGACGGGGTTTCACCATATTGGCCAGGCTGGTGTCAAACTGCTGATCTTGTGATCCACCCGCCTTGGCCTCCCAAAGTGCTGGGATTACAGGTGTGAGCGACCACACCCGGCTAATAAGTTTTTTTTTTTTTTTTTTTTGAGACGAAGTCTCACTGTGTTGCCCAGGCTAGAGTGCATTGGTGCAATCTTGGCTCACTGCAACCTCTGCCTCCCGAGTTCAAGAGATTCTCCTGCCTCAGCTTCCTGAGTAGCTGGGACTACCAGTGTGCACCACCACGCCCAGCTAATTTTTTATATTTAGTAGAGAGGGGGTTTCACCATGTTAACCAGGCAGGTCTTGAACTCCTGACCTAGGGTGATCCGCCCGCCTCGGCCTCCCAAAGTGCTGGAATTACAAGAGAGAGCCACCGCACCTGGCCAAAAAAATTTTTTTAGAGACAAGGAAGGTCTCATTATGTTGCCCAGGCTGGTCTCGAACTCCTGGGCTCAAGTGATCCTCCCACCTTGGCCCCCAAAGTGCTGGGATTGCAGGTGTGAACCACTGTGCCCTGCCAGTTATTAGATTTGAAGCCTACCCTAAATCCGGGATAATCTTACCTTGATGCTTAGCTAATTAAATCTGTGGTGACCCTGTTTCCAGTGTCACATTCTGAGGGTCCAGGGGGACTTGTGTTTTCTTTTGGGCTGGGCTGGGGCACTCTTCCCCGAGTACACAGGGTTAGAAGCGGACTGAGCAGTCCCATAGCCCCTTCCCTGAGGTCTACACCCTAGTCTGCACCCTCGAGGTCAGCGTTGCCCAGTGGAATGTTCTGTATGCTGGACACACTCCATCCCTGCCTTGTCCAGGGCAGCCCCCACTGCGCGTGACTGCTGGACACCTGAAATGTGGTGGGTGCCACTGAGGAACTGGACTTTTAAAAATGCAAATGCTCTTGTGCTGGAAGGCGCAGGTGTGGGTCCTCCCACTCCTGTGTGAGGAAAGGAAGAGGGAGCAGAAAGTGCTGGGAGGAGGGGCTGCAGCCTGCTCCAGGCTTCCCATCCCCAGCCCCCACCCTGGGTGCCCCAAGGTCTCCTGGGAGATGGGCACCCTCAGAGAAGCCAGGGCCTGGGCCCCTTTGCACAGCCCCCTGCACCTGTGCCAGGCCCGGAACCTTGGCCAACGAACTGTTTACTGCGTTGAGCAGAGCCCGTTGAAGGGACAACCCCAGGGGCCCTCAAAGCCACCAAGGCTGTGTGTGGCCTCTCCCTGTACATGACCCCTCCTGGGCCCGCACCACTGGGGTTGGAGCCCCTGTCTGTGCTCATGGCCAGAGGAGCTGCTCCCATATGCAACGGCACGTCCACAGACCGGCCCGGGGGCATTGTGGATGGGGGGCAACAGTTTTCCTGCAGAGGTGGGGTTTAGTGGGAAGGGGTGTAGAGTTGGGAAGGAGGTGGCGGAGCATTCCAGGTGGAAGCTCGGGCAGGGGGATGCTCTTGAAGAATTGAACGAAGGCTGCTGGGCCAGGTCCTCAGGGGCAGAGAGGAGGCCAGTGGGGGCCTCGTGGACCAGAGTGGAGGGATCTCCATGTTCCCCACTCCTGACGACAGCCCGGTGTGGGTTTGGGCTCCCTCCCCACTGCCTGCACCCCTTTGTGCCGCGTTTTCACCCTTGGCATGTGTTGTGCCACAGGCTGTTCTTACCTGTGTCCTTGTGTGTTTAATTGTAATGAAGAAGCTGTGGGTGCTGGGAAGCGGGGCAGCCCATCCATTCTCCGTGTCCCTGAGCTGTGGCCCTGGAATGAGAAAGTGCGGGGAATCCAGGGGGTGGGGGGTGACATCAGACTGCACTTGAGTCACTGTCAGGGCCTTCCCGAGGGTGTCCTGCACGCAGGGGGTCCTCTCTTTCAGGGCCCTGGGCAGAGAGGAGGAAGGTCTGAACCATGAGGTCTCTAACCTCCTCTGGCCATTTGTGGGGTGGAGCAAGGCGGGGTCGGGGCTGGGAGGGGCGGGGCAGCTGTGTCTGCAGGCATGGAGGATGGTCCACAGGGCCCTCTCCTTCAGGAGTCTGTTCTATCTTTGAGACAAAGTCTTGCTCTGTCATCCAGGCTAGAGTGCAATGACGCGTTCTCGGCTCAGTGCAACCTCTGCCTTCCGTGTTCAAGCCATTCTCCTGCCTCAGCCTCCCAGGTAGCTGTGACTGCAGACATGTGCCACCATGCCTGGCTAATTTTTTTGTATTTTTAGTAGAGATGGGGTTTCACCATGCTAGCCAGGCTGGTCTCAAACTCCTGACCTCAAATGATCTGCCCGCTTCGGCTTCCCAAAATACTGGAATTACAAACATGAGCCACTGCACCCGGCCTGTTCTGTCTTTTTATCTCACTAAGCGCCTGGCCCGGAGCCTGGATTCTGGGGACAGAGATAAGTAGACCCAGTCCCAGCTCTCAAGGGGTACCCCACCCCACAGCTGTCCATGTGTGGGGGGGTGCCCCTCCCCGAAGCTGTCCATGTGTGGGGGGCGCCCCTCCCTGCAGCTGTCCATGTTGGTGACACAGATGTGTCAAGAGACACAGGGTAGCCCGGGCTATGATGGAGGGCAGGACTGAGCATCTGTACTCCTGAGAGGGCTCCTGAATCCCCGACATGAGGTCATGCCCAAGAGCCACTGTCCCCCAGGCCACGCTGGCCTCCACCGTGGCAAAAAGCTACATCCTGCCTTTGAAGTCAGATGTGTCTCGTTTTAAGTCTTTGGTGCAGCCTGCCGGCTGGCTTTGCACTGATGACTTAACCCTGCTGGGCCTCAGTTTTCTATCTATAAAGTGGGGGGATTATTTCCAGGGTATGGCTGGTCGTGAAGATGAACTTGGGCCATGTGTGTAAAGCCACACTTGGTGGACGCTCACTCAGCAGGTGTCGCCTTCGAGGAATGCTGCTGCCTGTGCCTCCCAGCTCAGGCTGGGCTGGCCAAGGAGGCTGCTTTTTGCTAAGTGCCCGAGGGTTTTCTAGGAGAAGGTGGCACAGAGGCTCACCTGTGTCTGCTCTTCCAGGGGACGACCGCTTTGGAAGACGCGTTGTCACGTTCAGCTGCTGCCGGATGCCACCCTCCCATGAGCTGGACCACCAGCGGCTGCTGGAGTGAGTGTCCTGCTCCTCTCTTTCTGTCCCTGTCTTTCCATGTTGCTTGTACCCATCCCTTCACCCCACCTCCCTGTGAGTCACCTGCTCTGAGGCCTCCTTTGTGAACTTATTGGTGTGCAGAGCTCTTGCACTCATAAGCCTACTGGAGGGCCATCTGTGGACACCCCCGGTCCCTGGGCTTCCGTGCACCATTCATTAGCACAGTGGGAGCCAGGTTTGGTTTCCTTTTAGCCACCCGAGCTGTGGGTGCCTCCCTTTGGAGTTAGGGACAGTCCCCTGGTCCTAGGTGTAGACCAACCTTACAGATGACATGGCTGCCAAGTGCCAGGCCTCCCACACACACTGTCCCTTTGAAACCTCCCTGGGCCTCTCTCCGGGAACGCCTTCGGAGCTGTATGAGTTTCCTGTGGCTGCCGTAACAAAAGACCACATGCTTGGCAGCTTAAAATGCTGAGTGGACCTTCCTTGGTTCTGGAGGGCACCAGTCTCCAAGGTCAAGGCAGCGGCAGGGCTGCCCTCCTCCTGGAGGCTGCGGGGGAGCTTCTGGCCTCTTCCAGCTCCAGGGGGCCCCGGGTGACTGGTGACCGTGTCATTCCCTTCTCTGCCTCAGTCTTCACATGGCCTTTTTGCCTCTGTGTCTTCCCATCTCATAAGGACACCAGCCACTGGACTAGGGCCACCCTAATCCCATGGCACCTCATCTGAACTAATTGTACCAGCAAAGACCCTATTTCCAAATTAGGTCACACTCTGAGGTTCTGGGTGGAATTTTGGGGGGTGCCATTCAAACCCAGGACAGAAGACAAGGGCCTGCTGCTGCTGCTGTCATCGGCTCAGCAGGCATCTATTGAGTACCTACTGTATGTGAGGCATTGGATAGTCACTGTATCAGGGCCCACCTGTGAACTGAGGAAATCAACATTGTGGTTTGGGAAACTGAGGCCAGGAGATGACTCTGAGACACAAGGCAGTGGGACATGGAAGGGGCTGAGTGAGGGGTGCTTGGACCCCATGTACCTTGTATACACCCAGCGCTACCCAGGTGCGCATGGGCGCCACAGCTGGTACGGGGTGGGGGCCATAGAAAATCCAGGTTGTTGGTTTCCCATACCAACAAGCGCCAGGAGCATTGAGAAGGGGAGGTCTCAGGCCGTTTCCCAACTGACTTGGTCAAGGAATCTTTTACTGCACTGAGCAGAATTCTCTGAAGGGACAAGCCCAGGGGCCCTCATAGCCACCAAGGCTGCGTACATTACCCCAATCTATCTGTACATTACCCCTCCTGGGCCTGTACCTTTTGTTCCCCCAGCCTTTGCGTGCAGCAACCCCAAACACATCGTCCCTTGCATATGTCCCCTCGTGTGCTCACCTCCATCTTGTGCCATTCCCCTACTGTGGCTGTCCTCTCTCCACCCCCGACCACCATGCACACACCCCCTCTCATGCACACACCCCCTCTCATGCTCACACCACCCATGTACACACCCCTTCCCATGGGCCCACCATTCTCATGCACACACCCTCCCATGCACACACCCCCTCCCATGTACACACCCCCTCCCATGGGCCCACCCCTCTCATGCACCCACCCCTCTCATGTACACACCCCCTCCCGTGCCCACACCCCTCCCGTGCCCACACCCCTCCCGTGCCCACACCCCCTCCCGTGCCCACACCCCCTCCCGTGCCCACACCCCTCCCGTGCCACACCCCTCCCTGCCCCCTCCCGTGCACACACGCCCTCCCCTACACACAGCCCCTCCCATGCCCACAACTCCTCTCATGCCCACACCCCTCTCTCATGCACACACCCCCTCCCATGCCCACACTTCTCCATCACTAAGTTTCGTGCTCAGCACAGACTGGATGTTCAGAGTGAAAGTCTAACCTAAACTAGATTGACTCATGGGCCCTTAGATGGCTGTCACATGACCCCCAGGCCACCAGACCCCCTCCAGGACTGAGCCTTCTCCAGCCCAGGACGTCTTTGAGTCCACATTCTTGAGCTCTGGCCCGGGCCTCCGGGCCTCTTAAGTCGGCCTGTTTCCTTCCCTCCCTCCGTCACCCTTCTCAAAGCCACATGGGCCTCCTGCCCTGCACCCTCTGCACTGGCCGTTTCCCGTTGCTCAGAAGGCAGCACCTGCCCCTCCCCTGTGTATGGCCTTGGGCGCCCTGTCACCCTCTTTCATCTGTCCCTGGCTGCTGGTGTCTGCTGTGCTGGCCACACTGCTTTCATAAGGCGGCCACCGAGCCTCCTTCCTGGTGAAACCCCCGGGCCCAGGAGAGCTGCTGCTGGGGGAAGAGTTGGCAAAATAGCGAGAGCAGCGCCCCTGCCAGAATCCCCGTCCAGGTGAGTGAGAGCTCCCCAGGCCCAGGGGAGAAGCTCAGTCTCAGTGGAGGGAAGTTAGGTTCTCAGAGCCTTGGAATTTGCTCCCTGACAGTGAACTGGTTGAGCTTCATTCCCAAGGCCGAGCCCTGGCCGATCTCTGGGTGCCCCTGGAAACATTTATTGTGCCCTTGTGAGGACAGGGAGCACGGCACCTGGCCTGCCACGGACTCCCTCACTGCTGGGGACAGCTCAGGACATGACCCTGGCGGGGAGGCTGTGCCTTCCGCCACTTCCAGATGCCAGCATCTAACTGCTAAAGCCAAGGAACTCAGGGAGTAGGCTGCGACCTGGAACCCCCAATTCGAGATGAACAAAGGCACGATCGGATCGTAGAAGCACCCAGAAGACTTTGGGCTGGTTGCTTTGTGAGAGTCCCCCCGATAGATGCATCCTGTCTGGTCTGTTAAAGAATCTTCCGACCACAGCTGAAACTGCAGTGGCGAAGGGGACCTCTCGGGGAGCAGGTGCCAGGAGCACCTTCCACCAGTGCTGCTGCTGCACGGTGAGACCTGCAGGATGCATGGGGCGAGCTGGGATCCTGGGGCTGGTTACCCCAGACAGTGAGACTGGCTTTCCCCAGAGGGTGCTCACTCCAGTGAGGAGGTGATGCCAGCCTGCTGCCCACTCTTGGTGTTCACCAGGCACACAGGGAGAGACGGACGCCAGATTCAGGAAAAGTTCGTATCCTGGGGTCGTCTTGAGAGGACGCATTCCCTTGTCAGGTCATTTAGGCACGGAAAGACCCGTGACCTGTGGGTCAGCTCTCCCCACGGGGCTGCTGCTGGGCCAGGAGGGAGCTCAGGATTTGCTGTTCTTATAAAGACAAAAGTGCCTTCGAAGACTGTGAATTGGTGGTTGCCAGGGCTTGGAGGAGTGATGGGGAGAATGACTATTTAATAGGTCTCGGTTTTCTTTTGGGTTGATAACAATATTTCAGAACCATAGAGAGGTAATTGCACAACTTTGTGAATACACTAAATGCCACTGGATTGTTCATTTTAAAATGGTTAATTTATATTATGTGAGTTTCAACTCCATTGGACAAAAAGCACCCCTGACAACAAATTGGTACCTTGTGCTCTTTTATGTACTTATTCAAGATTCCTTTACTATTAGGTGGAAGTGGTAAGCATGGCTTCCTTGAACAGTTGTATAGGTTGTTCACTGCACAAGGCTAACCAGATGAGAAGCTACTATCAGCTGGTATTCTTTTCACTCAGTGCGGGACAAGCATCTTCCCAGAGGAAAACGCATCTTTTTCTAACTCATGTAAAGGTGCTCTGTGGGCTTCTTGGCCTTGGTAAGAGCCATCAGGCTTAGCCTTCTCTGCAGCCTTTATGAAAAAAACACTCCGTCCGTTATCCTCCCTATCCATTTCAACCGGATGGCTTTTTTGTGGCCAGATGCATACTCCTATTTTTGAAGTGGATGAAGAAAAGAGTCTGTCTTTGAAACTCAACTGGTAATTTAGTTAATGACTTCCTGTGCTGAGCACGTGGGCAGATGCGTTGACACCCAGAGGATTTTAGCACACTGAACAGAAGGCACCCGGAGGAGCCCAGCACTGGGGCCAGAGGAAGAGTTCCTGCTTTTACGAGAAGGCGTCCAGAGTGGGAAGATGAGCTGTGCAGAGACACTGGCCTCAGTTTCCCTTTCTCCAAAAAGTCATTTGCGAAATGCGAAAGTGACTACCCTGAGAAGTGAGGAGGAGTGAGACATTCTCAGTGGCTCGGGGACTCTTCCACCCCTCTGTGTTCGGGTGGAAGTCTCGACCTGGTCTTCTGAGACAGTGACTCAGTAAAGGATGACCTTGGCGAAGTGTGCCCCAGTGGCTTAGCCCACATGGCGTTCAAGACAGGCAATGCGCTGGAAGATGGGTGTTGAAGTTACTTCCACCACGGGTGATCTGAAATCACGCATGGTGTGACGTCAGATGTGCGTGATTTCTCCACATCAAAGCAGACAATGGGATGGGAGCAGGCGTGGATGGCAGCCCAGGCTCTCAGAGACGCTGAGTGTGTGGACGCTGGAGCCAAGCTGCTTGGTTCGAAGCCCAGCTCTGCCCCTTACTGCCTCACCTCTGTGAGCCTCAGTTGACTTGTTTATAAAATGGAAATAATAGTACCTGCCTGCTAAGGTCATTGAGAGAACTGAATGTGTAGAAGGCCTGCAGTTCAGGTGGTTTGGGCTTTTGACAGAGGGCACTCTGACGTTGCTTATAAATCAGATGCACAAAGGAGAAGCTGGCATCCTTGGTCTCCAGGCTTCCGGGCAGTGCAAGACCAGCCGAGCATCTGCAGATGGGCACAGGCAGCTGGGGCTTTCTCCTGAGGCAGTTCTGGGGGCATCTGTCTGCGGAGCACCTCGCCCACAGCCTCGGAGAGCGGGACCACCTGGGTGGATTAATTACAAGATGTGCTCCAGGTGAGAACCTGGACAATCTGAGCTGAGGGATCATGGCCTGACTGGCTCAGTGTCAGGCCCTGCAGAGTGCTGATGGAGGGTTAGGAAGGAGGTCCTTCTGCAGCCCTTCCTCCTGCAGATGGCAGGGCAAGCCCTTTCCCACAGGTGACATGAAGACAATGCTTCCTCGGTGCAGCAGGGCAGGATGGAATGTGGTCCATGGGAAGTGGGTAGAGCCTACACCATAGCGGGTGGCAGGTGACAGACGCAGAGCAGTGTCAGGACTCTCACTTTATAATGAAAAGCAAAATGTTAGAAGCTCACCTGGAAAGAGGGAATTGCTTGCCTTAGAAATGCAGCAAGCAGCAGGGCGTCTGAGGTGGAAGGGCCTGTGGTATTGGGGTTAATGGCAGGGGCTGAGCAGTCAAGCATTCCTGGGTTCGAATCCCAGCTCATCCTCCTCACGAGTTTCCTGGGGCTGCCGTAACCATGACTACAAATGTGGTGGCGTAAAACCAGAAGTGTATTCTCTCACCATTCTGGAGGCCGGAAGTTCACAATCAAGGTGTGGGCAGGGCCGTGCTCCCTGCGGAGGGAGAATCCCTTCCTTGCCTGTCCAGCCCATAAAGGCTGTCGGCAGTCCCGGGCCTTCCAGGGCTGGTGGCCACGTCACGCTCTGCTCTGCTTTGCCTCTGTCTTCACGCGACCTTCTCCCCTCTGACTTCTCATCTTCACGTCTGCCTTAGAGGGATGCATGTGATTGCACCGAAGGTCCACCTGGGTAGTCCAGGATGAGCCCCTCCTCTCAAGGTCCTACATTTAATTGCACCTGCAAAGGACCTTTTTCCCAGATAAGGTCATATTCTCAGGTTCCACGGATTTGATAAAGATTTCTTTCCAGGGCCCATATTTACACCTACCACATCCCCTTACTAGTTGTGTGACCTTAGGTAAGTCACTTAAGCCTCAGCCTCAGAGGTCATCTGGGAAATGAGGACCGGGGCCCACGGTGCATGGAGTCTCCGTGTGGCCCAGTGCTGGCACCCACTGGGTGACCACAGCTGCCGTTGCAGGAAACGGATTTCAATAATGAGCAGGTGATTTTCTTTTCTTTTTTTTTTTTTTTTTTGAGACAGAGTCTCGCTCTGTTGCCCAGGCTGGAGTGCAGTGGCCGGATCTTGGCTCACTGCAAGCTCTGCCTCCCGGGTTCACGCCATTCTCCTGCCTCAGCCTCCCGAGTAGCTGGGACTACAGGTGCCCGCCACCTCACCTGGCTAGTTTTTTGTATTTTTTAGTAGAGATGGGGTTTCACCGTGTTAGCCGGGATGGTCTCAATCTCCTGACCTCATGATCCACCCGCCTCGGCCTCCCAAAGTGCTGGGATTACAGGCTTGAGCCACCGCGCCCGGCCAGGTGATTTTCATAACTGAATCTTCTGTGTAATGCCAGGTATTTGAAGTACACGCTGGACCAGTACGTCGAGAACGATTATACCATCGTCTATTTCCACTACGGGCTGAACAGCAGGAACAAGCCATCCCTGGGCTGGCTCCAGAGCGCATACAAGGAGTTTGACAGGAAGTGCGTGCCCGCAAGCCTTCGGGGACCTGGGTGTGGGCTAGGTGTGGCAGGAGGAGGCATTGTGGCCACAAGTGCTCACACAGTATGCAGTGGGGGAGGGGCCTGGAAGGGCGGAGGGTAGGGGGTGAGCAAACTTGGGGCAGTGGGGGTTCACCTCCCCTCTGGGCTAAGACTTTGGAATCCCGGGCAGAGGATTCTTTCTTTTCCTTTATTTTTATTTATTTATTTATTATTTTATTTTTATTTATTTATTTTTTTTGAGACAGCGTCTCGCTCTGTCCCCCAGGCTGGAGTGCAGTGGCGCGATCTCGGCTCACTGCAAGCTCCGCCTCCCGGGTTCCCACCATTCTCCTGCCTCAGCCTCCCGAGTAGCTGGGACTACAGGCGCCCGCCACCGCGCCAGCTAATTTTTTCTATTTTTAGTAGCGACGGGGTTTCACCGTGGTCTCGATCTCCTGACCTTGTGATCCGCCCGCCTCGGCCTCCCAAAGTGCTGGGATTACAGGCGTGAGCCACCGCGCCCGGCCCTATTTATTTATTTTTTTTAAGAGACGTCTTGGCCAGGCACCATGGCTCATGCCTGTAATCCCAACACTTTGGGAAACCAAGGTGGGTAGGTCACCTGAGGTCAGGAGTTCCAGACCAGGCTGGCCAACATGGTGAAACCCCATCTCTACTAAAAATACAAAAATAAATAAAAAGAGAGACAGTTTCGCCCTGTCACCCAGGCTGGAGTTCAGTGGGCTGTAGCAATCCTCTTGCTTCAGCCACCTGAGTAGCTGGACTACAGGTACGCACCACCACACCCAGCTAGTTTTTGTATTTTTTTTTTTTTTTTGAGACGGAGTCTCGCTCTGTTGCCCAGGCTGGAGTGCAATGGCCGGATCTCAGCTCACTGCAAGCCCCGCCTCCCGGGTTCACGCCATTCTCCTGCCTCAGCCTCCCGAGTAGCTGGGAGTACAGGCGCCCGCCACCTCGCCCGGCTAATTTTTTTTGTATTTTAGTAGAGACGGGGTTTCACCGTGTTAGCCAGGATGGTCTCTATCTCCTGAACTCGTGATCCGCCCGTCTCGGCCTCCCAAAGTGCTGGGATTACAGGCTTGAGCCACCGCGCCCGGCCTAGTTTTTGTATTTTTTTGTAGAGATGGGGATCTCACTGTGTGGCCCAGGCTGGTCTCGAACTCCAGGCTCAAGCGATCCTCCCACCTCAGCCTCCGGAAGTACTGGGATTACAGGTGTGAGCCACCACACCAAGCTGACACCCTTGCTCTTAAAGGGCCAATCAGTCAGTATTTTAGCTTTGCAGGCCAGTCACTCTATTGCAACGACTCTGCTGGACTGTGTTCCAGTAAAACGCTATGGACACTGAAATGTGAATTTCATGTCATTTTCACGTGTCATGAAATCTTCTGTTTCTTTTTCAACCACTTAAAAACACAAAAAGCCGTTTTTAGCTTGCAGGCTGTACTGAAGCAGGAAGCAGGCCGGGTTCGTCCTGCGTGCCCTTTCGCCCATCCCTGGTCCAGTGAATTACGGGCAAAGAAACCAACTGCGTGACTGTTTCTTCACTAACCCCCCTTCCTGCCTGCACAGCCCTTTACGGCCTGCAAGGGGCATTCCGATGCCTACTATTGGTAGGATGGGCAGTTCCATTTTACAGATGGGCACACAGGCCCCAGAGAGCAAGTGACTTACCTGTGGTCACTCAGCTTGGGTGTGGTAGGGCAGGACCCCACCCCAGGCCCCCGCCTCCCTCTCCCACCCCATGCTACTCACCACTCGGCCATGGCCTGGAGTCAGTGGACTTTTCCTGAGGGACGTCCTGCCTAGCAATCAACTTTGCAATATATCTGGCTCGTAGACTGCGGCGGTGGGCATTGATATGGATATCCTAGATTCCTCTGGGTTTTCCTTCTTCGAAGTCCTTTCAAACCTGTAACAGAAATCTGCTTCACAGATACCTGAGTCAATGGGACAGTGGGAGGCAGCACCTGATTGTCCCAGAAGTCCTTCCTCCAATTGCCTTTTGGGTCCTGCTGCCATTATCAATAGGACCTTTAGAGGGACTTCTTGGTTCCCTGTCCCATGTCTTAGGCAAAGAATTGTTGCTGCATTTTGTAGTCATTTACTGGGCACCTGTATAAGCTGGAGTATGGCCTAGCCCCAGCTCATGTCCTCCTCCAGGAAGCCTTCCTGGGTTGTCCTGGGAGAATCAATAGCCCCTCCCCTGCAGCCTCACTGTCCCTGAGCAGGCACCAATCCTGACACGTAGGGGTTTGTGAATGGGTCTGCCTCCTGCACTAGGCTGTGACCCCTGACCTGTCTCTGCATCCCTTGCAGGTGGGAAAGGGTCTGCATATGGCAGGCTTTTTTTTTTTTTTTTTTTTTTTTTTGGAGACAGAGTCTCATTCAGTTGCCCAGGCTGGAGTACAGTGGCGAGATCTCGGCTCACCACAACCTCTGCCTCCCAGGTTCAAGTGATTCTCCTGCCTCAGCCTCCCGGGTAGTTGGGACTACAAGCGTGAGCCACCATGCCCGGCTAATTTTTGTATTTTTAGTAGAGACGGGGTTTCACTATGTTGGCCAGGCTGGTCTTGAATTCCTGACCTCGTGATCCACCTGCCTGGGCCTCCCAAAGTGCTGGGATTACAGGCGTGAGCCAGTGTGTCCGGCTAGCAGGCTTTTAATAAGCATTAGATGGGAGGATGGAGGAGTGAAGTGGTACTGGCAGGAAGTTACCAAGGTTCCAGCCAGCGTAATCAGGAAGGCTGCATGGAGGAGGCAGCCTTTGAGCTGCCCGTGGAGTGGTGGGCAGGGTGTCACGAAGTGGCAATCACTGGATTTTGTTTCTGGTACGAGGTATGGCCAGGTGCAAGAAAGAGCAGGGTGGACTTTGGTGCAGTTGGTGGGGGGCTGGACTGTAGGGTGGGGAGCCTTGGAGGAAGGCAGCAAAGGAGGGAGGGGCACAGAGGATGCTGGACTGTGTTTAAGAGGCAGCAGGGAGCCATGGCAGGTGCTTGAGGAGAGGTGAGTGATGTGTTTAAAGCAGCCCTTTCAGGAGGCTCAGGCTGACACAGCAGGATGTGCACAGTAGCCCTGTCTTGAGCTAAAGCAGCTGAAGGTTTTGCCCTCTGCACTTCCCCAAGTGACAATCGAAGATGCACCCCAGATTCCTTGAGGTGCCTTCCCCACTTCTCAGTTGCCAGAAATCAGCTCAGAGAAACAAACCCGAAATCAGCCCAGGTGGTTTCCCTTCCCTTTCTTGAGGGGGCTGCCGGTTCGCACATCAGGAATGGGTCATTCCTGCTTGAGAGACAGCAGCAGAATTCCTTAACATCCAGGTAAGATGTGCCGGTGGTCGATGTATGAAATCTTGCTGGCGAGTTGGAATCTGTGTTGGCAGCAGTGACGTGAACAGTGACAAAGCACCAGCCCGGGGAAGGAGGCCGGCCTTGCCGCAGCCTGGGGAGGCTGTCAGGGCTCTCACATTGAAGGGCGTTGATAAGCGGATCCACGCAGGTGGGGAGACTTGAAGCAGTGACTTCCAATCGGCGATCATTTAACCTTGGCCCAAGGGGACTAGGCAGGGAAGAGAGGAACGTGACAGCCGTGGCCTTCAAGTCATCAGATGAAAGAGGTGGACTTGTTCTGTGTGACTCTCCCACTCCCCAGGAGGGTGGATAGGGGTGGGGGTTAGGGTTAACGTTACAGATCTTGGCTCAGTAGAAGCAAAAAGGAGGGACACTCTAGACATTAAACTACCCAAAAGTGGAGTGTCTCCAGGGGTGGTGAGTTCCCCGTCGCTAGAGGTACCTTTCTTGCCCAACCTGATGGTTTTGGGCTGAAATATTCAAGAAGGAAGTGTTGGGACTGGGAAGAGGGAGAGAGGGAAGCTCACCTGGTGTTCCATTATGTGGGCGGCTGTTGCACTGAACCAGCCTCTGGCCGGCTGACGTTTAGGTTATTGCCGGGTTTTTTTGCCATCATAACCAACATGGCGAGCTCCTTCTGGTCCGGGTCAGCTCCCGGCAGGGGAGGTGTTGGCCGAGAGTCTCTGTGCGGTTTTAATTCTGAGAGCTGTTGCCAGATTGCCCCCGGGTTGTGCTCCAGACCCCCACCCCACCCTGGTGTGAGTGAGTGCCTATAAACAGGGCTCCGACCTGCACGTGTGCCTCTGCGAACTGTAAAGGGCTGCAGGCGTGCCTGGCGGGGGCAGTGGGTGAGGGGTCCTGATTTTTCCCTGAGTTTATTTCTTTTTTTTTTTTTTTTTTTTTTTGAGACGGAGTCTCGCTGTGTCTCCCAGGCTGGAGTGCAGTGGCGTGATCTCGGCTCACTGCAAGCTCCGCCTCCCGGGTTCACGCCATTCTCCTGCCTCAGCCTCCCAAGTAGCTGAGACTACAGGCGCCCGCCACCACGCCCGGCTAGTTTTTTATATTTTTTTAGTAGAGACGGGGTTTCACCATGTTAGCCAGGATAGTCTCGATCTCCCTGAGTTTATTTCATTCTTTGTTTGATGTCCTTAAATTGATCCCGTTGAGAGAAGTAACATTCTGAGACTCACAGTGGAGGCAGCTTTTTTTGGGCTATTGGGCGTGGGGTGTTTCTCGGAGCCTGGCAGCCTGAAGTCATCTCCCGTTTCCCTCCTCAGATACAAGAAGAACTTGAAGGCCCTCTACGTGGTGCACCCCACCAGCTTCATCAAGGTCCTGTGGAACATCTTCAAGCCGCTCATCAGGTGTGCGGGACTGTGGGAGAGGACCCCGCTGGGGTTGGAGGTCCCTCAGTGTCCGTGGGACGGCCTTCCCTATCCACGTGCCACGGAGGGCCCGTCTCCAGGGTGCCTGTGGATCTGGGGCTCCCCACCCGCTTGGGGGTCTGCGGGGGGTCACAAGGCCGGCCCAGGTCATGGACAGGAGTGGCTGGCCTTTGACACCTGTGGGGTTTGTACTTGGTGTTTAGCCCCCTGCCTTGACCTGTGCCCCCACACTGTGCGACCACCCTTGGGTTCCGTGCATTTCCAGAGGGACTCACAGATCTCGGGAAAGCAGTTATCTTCACTGGTGTAGTCTGTTACAGAGACAGGGCACAGATTTAAGTCAGCAAAGGTAAAAGGCACACAGGGCTGAGTCCAGGAGGTCCAAGTGCAAGCTCCCAGCTGTTGTCTCCAGGCGGTTTCATACAGACAGTGATCCACTCTCCCAGCAAGAACGTGTGGAGGAGGAGGGAGCATGGCTGGCCAGGGAAGCTCACCGAGCCTTGGTGCCCAGCGTTTTTGTTGCAGGTCAGTCATGTAGGTACGGAGTATCCACCTGGCTGACCTCAGTCACTCGGTCTCCAGCCCCTCCTGAGATGAGATGAATACAGCCCAGGGTCCCCACCCTCAATCACATTTTTTGGCACAAACTCTGTGGTGTTGGCCCAAGGCCTCCAGTGTGCAAAGACATGACCAGGCTGACTCCTCCAGGGGCCGAGAGGTTTCCACCCAGGAGCAGGTCGCCCATGGCCAGGCTTCTCTTTGGAGTGGGCAGGGCTTGGACACCCCAAGCCTGCTGAGTTAAGCTTTTATTGCATAGCAACCCAAATAAGCGGCCTAAAGAGAGGCAGCCACAGCCCGGAAATGTGGCCACTTCAGTCAGCTTCTTCCATATTTAGGCTTGTTCCTGTTGAAGGATTTCTGCCTCAGTATTGGGAAGCAGGAGCTCAAGGGGCTGGTGAGGCCTGGGGGTCTCTGCCTGGGTCGCTTGGGCGTCCTGTATTTTCTTCTGTTTGGGCTGTATGCATCAGGCACAAACTGTGTGCACGGAGCCACATGACGGGGGTGGGATGGGGAGGAGACTGACAGATGTCGCTCTTGCGCGGTGGCTCTGGCCCTGCCTGGGTGAGTTCTGCAGGCGAGGGAGGGGTCAGAGCAGGAGGGCCCCGGTGTGCACCAGATGCGTCAGGATACTCGGGTGAGGTGATTGCCTCTGTGAGGGGGCGGGAGGACTCCTGGAGGGCCTCCCTGGGAAGAAGCCTTTGGGCACAGGAGGCACATCCCTGGAGGGGTCGTCATTCTTCCCCAGAGGTTCGAATCTCACAGACCTTTGCCATCTCCCCACTCAGCCCCTTCCACCTATTGGAGCCCACCCACGTGGCTCTGAGGCTGCTGCTGATACAGGTCTCTTCCTCACGCCCCACAGACATTGTGCAAGTGGGTGTGACACTCCGTGTACAGGGAGCACTCGGACAGAGCTGGAATGCCAGCTGGGACCTCAGAGTCCACACTCTGTCTCCTTCCCATTTCCCATCCATCCCTGGGAAGCATCTTGGCCCCCCAGGAGCATGGACAGCTCGGGCTCTCAGGCACCTGCCTGTCTCCCCACCAGCCAGCTGCCGCCCCAAGGGCTACGCTGCCCCGTCCCACCCTTGTCCCTGTGTCTCTTTGTCTCTTACTGTGACTGGCATTCAGAGGAATATTGGCAAGCACTGGTCCTTGGGGCACATCGAGAGCTACTCTGCAGCCAGACACAGTGGCTCATGCCAGTAATCAAGCACTTTGGGGGGCCAAGGCAAGAGGCTCACTTGAGCCCAGGAGTTTGACCTGGGCAAGAAGGTGAGCCCCACCTCTATAAAAAATTTAAAAATTAGCCAGATGTGGTAGCATGCGCCTGTGGTCCCAGCTACATGGGAGGCTGAAGCAGGAGGATTGCTTGAGCCCAGGATTTCAAGGCTGCAGGAAAAAAAAAAAAAAGAGAGAGAGAACTGCCCTTTCAGGCAGCTTGGAGCCTTTCTTTTCTTTCTTTCTTTTTTTTTTTTTTTTTTTTTTGAGACAGTCTGGCTCTGTCACCCAGGCTGGGGTGCAGTGGCCAGATCTCAGCTCACTGCAAGCTCCGCCTCCTGGGTTTACGCTATTCTCCTGCCTCAGCCTCCCGAGTAGCTGGAACTGCAGGCGCCCGCCACCTCGCCCGGCTAGTTTTTTTTTATTTTTTTATTTTTTAGTAGAGACGGGGTTTCACTGTGTTAGCCAGGATAGTCTCGATCTCCTGACCTCGTGATCCACCTGTCTCGGCCTCCCAAAGTGCTTTTTTTTTTTTTGAGACAAAGTCTTGCTCTTGTCCCCCAGACTGGAGTGCAGTGGTGCGATCTTTGCTCACTGCAACCTTCTCCTCCCGGGTTCAAGCGATTCTCCTGCCTCAGCCTCCCAAGTAGCTGGGATTACAGGCACCTGCCACCATGCCCGGCTAATTTTTGTATTTTTAGCAGAGACTGGGTTTCACCATGTTGGCCAGGCTGGTCTCAAACTCCTGACCTCAGGTGATCTACCCGCCGCCTCCCAAAGTGCTGGGATTACAGGTGTGAACCACCGCGCCTGGCCTTTTCTTATCAGCTACCAAAGCTGTCATTCCAGGGACTGAATCATGTGGCCCCGAGACCCACTGGGAGAACTGGCGGAGCAGCAGGCTTGAGTCAGCTCCTGCTTAATCTACGGAGAGATTTTTGTGGCCAAAGAGCTCCTTTCGTGTCACTAGAATTTCCTGACAGTTTTTCTCACCTAGTGGCCTGTGCCGCACACATTTCCCTATTGGAAGGTGAGGTTTTGTTTGTGTTTAACCAGGCCCAGCACCCTTGTGCCCTATGTGACATGTGACATATTTGACATGGCAAAAAAGCTAGTCCCGTCATTTACCTTAGAAAAGTCCTTAGAGGGGCCGGGCGCGGTGGCTCACGCCTGTAATCTCAACACTTTGGGAGGCTGAGGCAGGCGGATCACCTGAGGTAAGGAGTTCAAGACGAGCCTGGCCAACATGGCAAAACCCCATCTCTACTAAAAATACAAAAAATTAGCCGGGCGTGGTGTTGGGCACCTGTAATCCCAGCTACTCGGGAAGCTGAGGCAGGAGAATCACTTGAACTCTGGAGGCAGAGGTTGCAGTGAGCCACGATCACGCCATTGCACTCCAGCCTGGGCAACAAGAGCTAAATTCCGTCTCGAAAAAGAAAAAAGATGGCCGGGCGCGGTGGCTCACGCCTGTAATCCCAGCACTTTGGGAGGCCGAGGCGGGCGGATCACAAGGTCAGGAGATCGAGACCACAGTGAAACCCCGTCTCTACTAAAAATACAAAAAAAAATTAGCCGGGCGCGGTTGTGGGCGCCTGTAGTCCCAGCTACTCGGGAGGCTGAGGCAAGAGAATGGCGTGAACCCGGGAGGCGGAGCTTGCAGTGAGCCGAGATCGCGCCACTGCACTCCAGCCTGGGCGACAGAGCGAGACTCCGTCTCACAAAAAAAAAAAAAAAAAAAAAAAAAGAAAAAAGAAAAATCCTTAGAGGGCAAGACATGGTGACTCACGCCTGTAATCCCAACACTTTGGGAGGCCAAGGCAGGTGGATCACTTGAGCCCAGGAGTTCAAGACCGGCCTGGATAACATGGTGGAACCTCGCCTCTACAAAACAGACAAAAATCAGCCAGGCGTGGTGGCGCGCACCTTAGTCCCAGCTACTCAGGAGGCTGAGGTGGGTGGGAGGATTGCTTGAGTTCAAGAGGCAGAGATTGCAGTGAACTGAGATAGCGCCACTGCACTCCAGCCTGGGTGACAGAGTCCGACTTTGTTGCACTTGGAGCTCTGGAAACCTCTAAGGTTCTTGGAAAAAAAGTTCACCTGCTTGGCCGGGCACCTGTAATCCCAGCACTTTGGGAGGCTGAGATGGGCGGATCACTTGAGGTCGGGAATTCATGGCAAGCCTGACCAACATGGTGAAACCCCATCTCTACTAAAAATCCAAACTTCAGCCGGATGTGGTGGTACATGCCTGTAGTCTCACCTACCTGGGAGGCTGAGGCAGGAGAATCACTTGAATCTGGGAGGCAGAGGTTGTGGTGAGCTGAGACTGCACCATTGCACTCCAGCCTGGGCAACAAGAGCGAGACTCTGTCTCAAAAAAAAAAAAGTTCACCTTCTCCTCTTGTTTTCCACGTGGCAGCCTGGACGGCATGATGGTGATGGCATCAGACTACCTGGGCTCGACTGCTCTGACCCTTGCCATCCATTACCCTCAACAAGAGAGGCAACCCCTCTGCCTCAGTTTCCCCATGTGGCTGACAAGGCTACTTAAGTCATTCCATTGTCACAATAATTCACTGACTTAATACATATAGAGTGTTTATTTTATTTTTCTTCCTTTCTTCCTTTTATCTCTCTTTTTTTCATAGGGTGTTGCTCCATCACCCAGGTTGGAGTGCAGTGGAGCAATCATGGCTCACTGCAGCCTTAACCTCCTGGGCTCAGGTGGTCCTCCTACCTCAGCCTCTCACATAGCCAGGATTACAGGTGCGCACCACTATGCCCAGCTAGTCTAAAACAATTTTTTTGTTGAGACAGGGTCTTGCTATGTTGCCCAGTCTGGACTGGAACTCGGCCTCATTTCTCAGCCTCTCAAAGTGCTGGGATTATAGGAGTAAGCCATGTTGACTGTTTAGAATAGGGCCTGCCAGGCACTAGCAAATACTCAGTGTTAGTTGCTAGTACTGTGTTTTTTGTTTGTTGTCGTCGTTTTGTTTAGTTTCATTGCTTTGAGACAGGGTCTCAGTCTGTTGCCCAGGTTGGAGTGCAGTGGTGCCATCACGGCTCACTGTAGCCTTGAACTGCTGGACTCAGGTGATCGTCCCACCTCAGCCTTCCAAGTAGCTGGGTCTACAGGCATGCCACTATGCCCAGCTAAATTTTGTATTTTTAGTAGAGACAGGGTTTTGCCATGTTACCCAGGCTCATTTTGAATTCCTTAGCTCAAGCAATCCTTCAGTCTTGGCCTCCCAAAGTGCTGGGATTATAGGCATGAGCCACCTCACCTGGCCCTGTTTTAAAATGTTTTTAAGCTGGCTGGGAGCAGTGGCTCACCCCTTAATCCCAGCACTTTGGGAGGCTGAGGTGGGCAGATTACCTGAGGTCAGGAGTTCGAGACCGACCTGGCCAATATGGCGAAACCCCGTCTCTATAAAAAATACAAAAATTAGTGGTGCGTGGTGGCGGGCACCTGTAATCCCAGCTACTCAGGAGGCTGAGCCAGGAGAATTGCTTGAACCCAGGAGACGGAGGTGGCAGTGAGCTGAGATCGCGCCATTGTACTCCAGCTTGGGCTGGAGTACAACAACAAGAGTGAAACTCCTCCTCAAAAAAAGGGAAAAAATCTTTTTACACTACCCTTTTGTATTAATTTGATTCCAATATCTTATGCATCTTATGTGCCAGGCACCGCAAAATAGTACTGTGAAGTCAGCCACATTTTCCCCGTTTCAAAGAAGAAGAGGTTGATTCTTAGAGAGGTTATACCCAAGGTCGCACCACGAGGAGGGGCGTGGGCTGGGATCCAACCCGAGCCTGTGTGACTCTGCCCCCCATCCTGCTTTGTGCCTGGACATAAGCAGCTGCCAGGAGAGGACCACAGGAATTGGGCTGGGACTCTGGAGCCCAGACTGGGCTCCGCTGCCCATTGCCTGTGAGGTCTTGGGCAGCCACATAATCTCTCTGTTCCCCGAGTCTTCATTCGTAAATGAAGGAAGTAGAAGACCTCTGAGGCTCTCAAACGCCCACACACAAAAGAGCCCTGGGTCTGGCCCAGACCTCCCGACTCACACCCCCGCAGGTGGTGCCTGTGGCTGCGGCTCTAACCAGAACCGCAGTGACTGCCGCACGCCGTGTTGGGAGTCCCTGGCTGAGCTGGCCTGTGGGCCCTTTCCCGAGAGGGAGAGGCAAGTGGTAGGCCTCTGGCTGCGCCTGCCCCCGAGTCCATGTTCGGCAGAGCCTGGCCTGCAGGAGGGGTCAGGGAGGCTGCAGAGAGGAAGGTGAGGGGCTGGGCAGGGGAGGCCTCCCTGCAGCTCTGAAGCGGGCACCTCTGTCCCTGAGAATGGTTACTGCAGAGGGGCAAGGCTCCCTTGGCCCTTAGTGGGTTCCTTCCGCCCATCACACAGGACACTGACAGCACTTTACAGCCCCGGGAAGAGCCTCTGGCAGCCTTCCGGCAGAGACCAGACTGTCCCCGAGTCCTGTGGAGTCTAAATGGGCAGGTGGTGAGGACACTCCCGCAGGGGTCCCACCAGCCCCTTCCCCCGGGGGGCTGGGGTGCGAGGACTAAGGCAGGCCCCGCTTTCCTCCCTCCCCTTGTCTTTGGTGTGAGGGGCACACTGCACTTTGGTGACTATTCTAGAGCCCCAGCCGTCAGCCCGGGTTCCCTGGCCTCCTACCTGGCAGTCCCCACCCCACTCCCCCGGCCCCCAGGTCCGATTCTTTCTCGTCCACTAGGGGGAGCCAATACGCACAGCTCGGCCTCCCTGGGGCTCCTTTGGGAACCTGGCGCTGGCACTGGGCTGAGCGTTGGGCTGGCGCTGTCCCTTTGGATCCTCCTACCTGTGATGATCTCCGTATTTTTTATTTTTGCAATGGTAACTTGAATTATTTTGATTTCACAAAATAACATTGAAAATACATGAATACTTATTTTAAGACTTTCAAATTGTCATAAAATAACATAAAATATCTTCGTTTTGGCCGAATACATAACTTTCCTTTTCCAGTAACAGTATAATTCTTTACCCACATTAATAGTTGTATATCCTGGCTGGGCACGGTGGCTCATGCCTGTAATCCCAGCACTTTGGGAGGCCGAACTGGCCAGATTATGAGGTCAGGAGTTCAAGATCAGCCTGGCCAACATGGAGAAACCCTGTGTCTACTAAAAATACAAAAATTAGGAGTGGTGGTGTGCACCTGTAATCCCAGCTACTCGGGAGGCTGAGGCAGGAGAATCACTTGAACCCAGGAGTCAGAGGCTGCAGTGAGCCGAGATCACACCACTGCACTCCAGCTTGCGTGACAGAGCGAGACTCCATCTCGGGGCGGGGGGGGGGGGAAGTTGTATATCTTAAACATATACAATAAGGAAATAATACTGTCCTACAAAATAAAACTCATATATGTATGACAAAAACCAAACCTAGACTGTCATAAAGAAGGGGAGGATTGCAGGCTTCTGTATAAAGGCATGCTCACATCTATCTGTTAGTGATCCCCACTTCGCAATTCATGCTGAGCCTTGTTACTAATAGCAGTCGTCGCAGCAAGCATGTCCACCAGACATCAGGCAGTGGACTAGACGTGCAAATAGCCTTGCATTGTCTTCCGCCCTCACTTAGGAGAAGGAACCCCCCACTTTCAGATCCAGGCCCTGAGAGGGAGTGAATTGCCCTGGGGGCACAAGGGGAGGGAGGAAACGGAGTTGCTGCACCAGGCCAGGGCATGTCTGGCCTTCTGGCTGCGCTACTCCCTGGGGTCCCAGAGACTGTCCTGGAGACAAAGCTGGAGAACCTCATTTATCCTCGTCCTTAGAAGAGGTGGCCAAATGTGAAGCCACCACTGACCCCAAAACCACCAGCAGCTGAGGCTGCCCTGGGGCAGGCGTCAACCTCAGAGGTTGTCTGTGCCATTGCCTTAGTGTCCCCTGCCTAACCTGCATCCCCCAAGAGCGCTTCTTGGCACTTCCACGCTATCTCCTATATCTATGCAAATTCAGGGCAGATGTAAATTGGAGGCAGATATTTATTTTTATGCAGATGAGCCACTCCAGAGTGTTTGGTGCATTGGAGATCTCGTGAAAGCAAAATATCTCCCGGCGTGCGTTGCTTGTTCGGGTTTTAAGTCGTGTCAGCGTTTACATTTTCTTAATATGAAAAATGCCTGCGTTGGTCTGCCGCCAGCTCCCCCTCCCTCCCTGCAACCCTTGGCCTCTCTGCTGGCGCCTAATGGTTTCTTTATTCTCTTCTGCTTTCTTAGTCACAAGTTTGGGAAAAAAGTCACCTATTTCAACTACCTGAGCGAGCTCCATGAACACCTTAAATACGACCAGCTGATAATCCCTCCCGAAGTTCTGCGGTGAGTGCCGGTTAGACCCCAGAAGCCACATCAGTACCTCTTCCTGCTTCCAAAGGGCTTGGTTCGATCCATGAATGTTTAAGGCTTTGTTTCCAAATGTGTGCTTGGCTAGCTTTGGCTCAGAAATCTGCGGCGTCAACAAAGATCTGCAGCTGCTGACTCAGAGAAATGAGATTGCAAAGGTTGTGTGCAGGACGGGCTGCTTACCTCGCCCACCGCTGCAGAACTGATTTAAAAAAAAGCCCTAGCCGGGCACTGGCCGTTTGTTGCCTTGGTGTTTACCGTTTTTGCTTTTGAGCAGAAAATTGGGGGAATTTCCCAGGCGTGTGGATAACGCTGTGTACAGAATGAAATGTTCTCAGGGATGTCGCGGGCGCTCTAGAAAACGACCTGTCTGCTGGATGATGAAAGCTTGATTGGTGTGTCTGCTACGAGGCTTAAACGTAGGTCCGGATGAATAGAGGCTGCCCAGGAAGGTGCGTGCCACGCAGCCAGTACAGGGTGTGCAGATCCAGCCTGGGTCTCTGGACCCCCAGCCTGGGTTCCCTCTGCCCCTGTCTCCCTCTCTGAGGGGCTCCTTTAAAGGAGTAGGCTCTTGCCAAAGTGCATGCAGGTGAGACTGGTAGCTTTGCAAGGGCAATGGAGATATTAACTTCTCTCCAGATGCCAAGTCATGTGGCACGTGCTGTGATATAGAGGTGTTTAGAGAGTGTGGTCCCTGCTCTCATGACACGCTCAGGCTAGTGAGGGCCACAAATCAGTGATGACAGGGGCCAGAGGAGGCACTGAACCCAGCTGGGAAGGGGACTGATATGTGGGGGTAATCCAGGAAGACTTCCAGGAGGAGGTGGCTCTTAAAGTGATTTTCACAGGGATAGTTGGCTAGATCAAGAGGCCAGGGAAGCCCTCCTGCAAACATGTGGGTGAAATATTGGGAGATCTGGAGGCAGCAAGAGGTCCCAAGTGATCAAGCAGAAGTTGGTGAACGTGAAGCTGGAGGTCACCTTGGGCTGGGAGTCCTTGGTGCCGAGCAGAGGAGAGTGAAATGGACCCAGAGGCCATGGGAGGATGATGGGAATCCTTGGTCTGCCGTGGGCCCTGGCAAGACTCCACTCCCAGACCTCACTAGAGTGACCCGGGGGAGTCCATGGACACGGCTCAGAAGATGTATTTTTAGCAGCTCTGTGGTGGAAGTGATTTGATCTGGTGACAAAGGGTAGCTTCACATCCTCCCGCGTGGGAGAGCAATTTGGGGATGAAATGGACGGCATCTGAAACACCCAGCTCCGGCTTCTCAATGGCTACTGGGTGCAATCTAGGGCCTCTGGAATGTGCAGGTGGCTGGCAACACTGAGGGTGCTGCAGGGTCCTGTGAGTCAGAGGGGACGAGGTTTGGGAGAGGTGTGTGGGCTTGGACATTGGGAGCTCCTGAACTTACTCTATAGGGAGCCGGTACCCCTGTTCCATAGCCGTGCAGCAGAACCCCAGAGGACACGTCCAATCCTGATGCTTTTAATTGAGCATCTACTAGACTTGGGGGCTAAGTCTGGATTTTTTCCACCCCCACATACTTCCTGGTGGGTGCTGCGAGGACCGGAGGCTGAGACCCACTGGCAAAGCAGCAGGGCAGGGCCTTGGGGTCCTGAATCCTGGCTGGCGTCCCAGCTTGTGACCTGAGGCAAGTCCCCAGACCTTGACAAGCCTCAGTTTCCCAATCTGTAAAGTACACAAAATAACCCTTTCATGGTAGGCCCCTCATGAGGGACAAAGACCTCTGGGGAGCCACTCGGGACACAGAGCGCTGTGATTAACTCACAAAGGACAACCCAACCGCACGTGGCAGCGGCTCACACCTGCTTGGCTGGCCAGGCTCAGTCCAGTGTGCCGCCTTCTCTGCAGACCTTTCCTGCATGCCGGGTGCCTCTGCGACGTGTGCCTGCACCGTCTTGTGTCACTGACTGCCTTGCTCCCGAACTGCTGACTAATGATCATGTTCTCCCCCCATCCTGTGGCCAGGTTACTGCTGTATGCACAGTGCCCGGCACATAGTAGGGCCTCAATATGTATTTGCCTGTGTTAAGGGAGGACTGTGTTAAGGGAGGACTGTGTTAAGGGAGGACTGTGTTAAGGGAGGACTGTGTTAAGGGAGGACTGTGTTAAGGGAGGACTGTTACCTGCTGCACAGAGGCTCTTTTCTTTTCTTTTTTGAGGTGGAGTCTTGCTCTGTCGCCCAGGCTGCAATGGCACGATCTTGGCTCCCTGCAACCTGCACCTCCTGGGTTCAAGTGGTTCTCCTGCCTCAGCCTCCCAAGTAGCTAGGATAATAGGCGTGCACAACCATGCCCAGCTAATTTTTGTAATTTTGGTAGAGACCGGGGTTTCATCATGTTGTCCAGTCTGGTCTTGAACTCCTAACCTCAAGTGAAACGCCTGCCTTGCCCTCCCAAAGTGCGGGATTACAGGCATGAGCCACCGCGCCCAGCACAGAGGTTCTTTTTACTGGAAGGCTTTAACATTAAGCTTCCTTCAGAATTTATCCATCCTCTTCAGAGTCCAGCTGTTCATGGCTTTCTTCATTCATTCAACAAGTATTTTAATTGAGCATCTACTAGGCAGCAAGCCCTTTCCAGACACTGGGGACAAAGTAATTAACAAAAGGGACAAGTCCCCTTTAGCATTACAAGCCAGCGTTTGTCTTAATTTCAGACACTCAGGAGAGCTGAGGGTGGTCACGCCCACCTCGGGGCTGGCCGCATGGCAAGCGGTTGAGGCCACTCTGCCGGCCAGGGTAGGCCCGCTGGCCAGGGGTCGCAGGAGAGAATGGACACTTGCTGGGGACTGGGCTACTGCCTGTTGCAAGAATAGGCGACAGCAGTGGGGGATTGTGACCGCGTGAATGTGAATGTGTGTGAGCTGGCAGCATGGTGTGTGTGCCCCGAGGGAGGGGATGCCCAGGTGTCCTGCAGGTGTTTGTGGGGTAGCCAGCTCCACCCAGCGCCTCCATGGATGCCAGCTGCCCCTGCCAGGTGAGAGCCCGGCCTCTGTTGTGTCTGCAGGTACGATGAGAAGCTCCAGAGCCTGCACGAGGGCCGGATGCCGCCTCCCACCAAGACGCCGCCCCCGCGGCCCCTGCTGCCCACCCAGCAGTTTGGCGTCAGTCTGCAATAGTAAGTGAGCCAGGGATGTGCCTGCTCCTATGCCCTGGACCCTGGGATCTGTGGGGCGTTTCAGAGTCCAGAGACATTTTCCCCAGACTTTTGTCTCCAGCAGCCAAGCTTAACCCTGCAGGAAAGATAAAGCCTGAGCTCCTCACTGAGGCTGCGGCTCGATGCTTGGTGCCTGGTGGGGGATTGTGTGCTCGCTGCTGTGTGCCTGGTGGGGGCGGGGGGGCATGCTCGCTGCTTTGTGCCTGGTGGGGGGACCGGCAGTGGGTAGCGGATGGGGTCTCTGGGGTTCCCACCCCAGCTTCTGTCACTGCTGCCCTCTGGGCATATACTTCCCACCACCTTCAAGGAGGGCGTGGTCACAGAATGTGCTTAGGTGTGGATGTGGGGCGTGTCGTGCTCAGAAGAAGCTTCCGGAGCCAGTGGGCAGCTGCCTCTCATGGTCACGTACAGGCCTGGGTGAGGCAGAGACGGTGCCTGGTCACTCTGCATCCCTGATCCCCGCATCACCGTGCACCCTGCTAACACCCAGGCTGGACACAGGCATAGAGAAGATAGGCTTGTGCTGGACTCAGCCACTGAGATTTAGGGGTCATTGTTACTGCAGCGTAACCTGTCCTCCCTAATACCCTTTATCAGCCGCATGACCTCAAACTCACCTCTTCTCTCAGCTTGTTTCCTTATTTCTGGTATACAATCCTTTTTTGGGCTGGCAGGAGCAGAGTCTTGCTCTGCCTCTCAGGCTGGAGTACAGTAGTTCCATCTCAGCTCACCGCAACCTCCGCCTCTTGGGTTCAAGCTATTCTCCTGCCTTAGCCTCCTGAGTAGCTGGGGTTACAGGCACCTGCCACCACATCTGGCTATTTTTTTTTGTATTTTTAGTAGAGAGAGAGTGTGGTCATGTTGCCTGGCTGGTCTTGAACTCGTGACCTCAAGCGATCCACTCACCTTAGCCTCCCAAAGTGCCAGGATTACAGGCGTGAGCCACTGTACCTGGCCACCCAGGGTAGATTTTGAAACATTTTGAAAGGTTTTGAGAACTGAGGAGGCTCTGGGTGGCATCTGGGCCAGGGGAGGAGATGCATCGGTCACCCGCCCTTTCTGAGCCATGTGGGCAAGGGCATTCCTGGGGTTAGAGGGGAGTGGATTCGGCCCTGGGGACTTGCCTGTTTCTTTCTTGGCCGAGAGTGGTGGAGTTCAGGGAGGATAGGGAGGGAGGCAGAGTCATGGACCCCAATGAAGTTCATACCCTCATTCCCAGAACCTGTGATTAGGTCACCTTATGTGGCAAAAGGGGCTTTGCAGAAATGATTAAGTGAAGGATCTTGGGATGAGGGGTTATTCTGGGTTCTCTGGTGGGCCCAAAACAATCGCCAGCATCTTTACAAGAGAGAGGCAGGAGGGTCAGAGTCAGAGGAGATGTGGCAGCAGAAGCAGAGGCCAGAGAGGTGCGGGGCCAGAAGCCAAGGTACTCAGGCACCTCTAGAAACTGAAAAAGGCAAGGAATGGATTCTCCCCGGAGCCTCCAGGTGGAACACAGTCTGGTCAACCCCTTTTTGACTCCTGACACCTCCAGGATATGAGATAATACATTTGGGTGTTTTGTTTGTTCGTTTTGCTTTTTTTTTTTTTTGAGACGGAGTCTCGCTCTGTCCCCCAGGCTGGAGTGCAGTGGTGTGACCTCAGCTCACTGCAACCTCTGCTCCCCGGGTTCAAGCAATTCTCCTGCCTCAGCCTCCCAAGTAGCTGGGATTATAGGTGTCCACTGCCACGCCTGGCTAATTTTTGTATTTTTAATAGAGATGGGGTTTCACCATGTTGGCCAGGCTGGTCTTGAACTCGTGACCTCAGGTGATCCACCTGCCTTGGCCTCCCAAAGTGCCAGGATTACAGGTGTGAGCCACCTCGCCTGGCCCATTTGTGTTGTTTTAAGCCACCGAGTTGACGGTAATTGGTTACTGGGGCCACATGAAAATAAAGCAGGTGGTAGTGAGTGGTGGGTAGTTGTGAGTCTAGGGGGAGGGAAGTGTGTCTAAATCTTATTTCCAGAACCAGCAAAGGTTGCTTCTAGGGTGCTTGAGCCCAGGAGAGGGATGGGCCTAGAGTGCAAATGTGAAGCTGGGTGGGCATCTCAACACTAAAGAGGACCATTGGTGCCCCAGCGTGGACCCCTAGACCAGCACTGTCTGATGGAACTCTGTCAGGATGGACCTGGTCTGCGCGGCCTGGTATGGTAGCCAGTGCTTGGTGCGGCTGGTGCAGACGCTGAATTTCTAATTGTATTTCATTTTAACTGATTTCAATTAGAACTGTCGCAGGTGACTTTTGACAGTTGTACTGCACAGTACAGCTCTGTTTCACCCTCGCCTTCCCCAACTAGGCACACACACAAAGGGTTGCCACTTAGACATTTTGTAAGCACTGTGCCAGTAAATGAGCAAGAGAATATATGTTGAAATAGAATGTTCACCCCAAATATATCTGGAACACATAGTTTACTACCAAATAGTACTTCCTTTTCCTTTTTCAGACATTGTGAGAATGTGCAGGTATGAACAGCTCTTCAGCTCCCATCACCCCTTAGGGGCCGCCCAGGAATGCTGGGCTGGGCAGGCACCTGCAGTGACCTCAGGCTCCTCCTGGGGGCGCTGGTGAGAACTCAGCCCTTGAGCAGGCTGAGCCAGCAGACCAGAATTTTGGTTTTTTTTGAGACTTTTTTTTTTTTTTTTTTTTTTTTTTTTGAGATGGAGTCTCACTCTGTTGCCTAGGCTGGAGTGCAGTGGCAGGATCTTGGCTCCCTGCAACCTCTGCTTTCCGGATTTAAGCAATTCTCCTGCCTCAGCCTCCTGATTAGCTGGGACTATAGGCACATGCCACCACACCCAGCTAATTTTTTTGTATTTTTAGTACAAGCGGGGATTCACCATGTTGGCCAGGCTGGTCTCGAACTCCTGACCTCAAGTGATCCACCTGCCTTGGCCTTCTACTGGGATTACAGGTGTGAGCCACCACACCTGGCCCAAGCCAGGATTTTCCAGCCATCAGATGACCGCTTTCCCCATGTTCCTGAAGCCCTGTGCCTCCAGCCCATTACTGGGGCTCTGCTGGGCTGATACTGCTTCCATGTGCTCTGACACACAGGGGCCTAGGGGTGGGTCCTTAGCTGGGAGACTCCAGCCACGCCTTTCTCATCTCTTATTTTATTGTTCAGAGTCACTTCTCTCTTATCATCTAACAAAACTTTAAAAAGGAAAAACAAAGGCCAGGTATGGTGGCTCACACCTGTAATCCCAACACTTTGGGAGGCCGAGGCGGGTGGATCACCTGAGGTCAGGAGTTCAAGACCAGCCTGGCCAGTATGGTGAAACCCCGTCTCTACTAAAAATACAAAAAAAAAAAAAAAAAATTTGCCGGGCTTGGTGCCGCACGCCTATAATCCCAGCTACTCGGGAGGCTAAGGCAGGAGAATTGCTTGAACCCGGGAGGCAGAGGTTGCAGTGAGCCGAGACTTTGCCATTGCACTCCAGCCCGGGAGACAGAGAGAGACTCCCCCTTAAAAAAAAAAAGAAAGAAAGAAAGAAAAAACAAGCACAGCTCACAGACTTCGAAAGCCATCTACGTGAGTGAAGTGTGGGAAAATGGTTAGCCATGGCTGTAGGCCTCAACTCCTAGAAGGCCACCAAGAGATACGCTGCATTCTGAGCAGGTGCCTTTCAGAGCGTACTAATGCAGGGCCGTTGGCTTTAACTGTCACCTTGCCATAGTCCATCCCTCTCCAGGGCCAGTTGTAACTGTAAAAGTCCGGTCCTCAGCTGCTTTCGGGACAATGGGCCACACTGCGCGTGCCGCTTGGAGCGAGAATCCATGCAGTTGCCTCTTTAAATTAATATGTGGTTTCATTGCCAATGATTATAATAAAATGGCAATAAACATTTTAAAGGAAGCACTAGATATGTAATTTGTTTGGACTGTGAATGAATGAAAGTCATTAAAATTCATAACTGAATCCTATTCACAAATGTTAATTTGCCGAGTTAAGTTCAAAAGCATACAGCAGAAAGCTATCACCTTAGAATGAGCTAATTAAGGCCGGGCGCGGTGGCTTAAGCCTGTAATCCCAGCACTTTGGGAGGCCGAGACGGGTGGATCACGAGGTCAGGAGATCGAGACCATCCTGGCTAACACAGTGAAACCCCGTATCTACTAAAAAAATACAAAAAAACTAGCCGGGCGAGGTGGTGGGCGCCTGTAGTCCCAGCTACTCGGGAGGCTGAGGCAGGAGAATGGCCTGAACCCGGGAGGCGGAGCTTGCAGTGAGCTGAGATCCGGCCACTGCACTCCAGCAAGGGGGACAGAGTGAGACTCCGTCTCAAAAAAAAACATAAATAAAAATAAAAGAATGAGCTAATTAAGTTAATACATTAAAGGGAAGTCAAAGATTCAAGAGGTCTTTGCTTGCCATCCCTGAAGAGGAAAAATGGAAACCTGAGGCCTGTGTGGGCAGCTGGGGGAGGTGGGTACAGGGCAGAGCTTGAGGTGTCCTTAGGCCTGGGTGGAGCAGGTCATGGCTGAGCTCTGGCATTTTTTTTCTTTTTTCTTTTTAATCTTTTTTTTTTTTTTTTTTTTTTGAGAGGGAATCTCCCTCTGTTGCCCAGGCTGGAGTGCAGTGGCGTGATCTCTGCTCACTGCAAACTCTGCCTCCCGGGTTCAAGCGATTCTCCTGTCTCAGCCTCCTGAGTAACTGGGACTACAGGTGCACGCTACCACGCCCGGCTAAGTTTTGTATTTTTACTAGAGACAGGGTTTTGCCACGTTGGCGAGGCTGGTGGCAAACTCGTGACCTCAGGTGATCCACCCTCCTCAGCTTCCCAAAATGCTGGGATTACAAGCATGAGCCACTGCACCTGGCCGTTACTGTGTTTTGTTTTGTTTTGTTTTGTTTTGTTTTTGAGACGGAGTCTCGCTCTGTCACCCAGGCTGGAGTGCAGTGGCCTGATCTCAGC